CAGGAGTTGGAGGTTACTGTGAGCTGTGATGCCACAGCATTCTACCCAGGGGGATAGCTTGAGGCTCCGTCTCAAAAAAAAAAAAAAAGAAAATGCTTCAAGGAACTACAATGTGCCAAACAGATAAATACAAAACTGTGCTGTTAGAAAGGAGGAAAGAAAAACCAGCACATCGTACCCCATGATTGCATTAATGTACACAGCTAAGATTTAATAATAAAAGAAAGAAGGAAAGAGAGAGTGGCACCTGTGGCTCAGTGGGTAGGGTGGGTTCAAGCCTGGCCCCGGCCAAACTGCAACCAAAAAAGCCAGGTTTTGTGGTGGACACCTGTAGTCCCAGCTACTCAGGAGGCTGAGGCAAGAGAATCCCCTAAACCCTTGAGTTGGAGGTTGCTATGAGCTGTGATGCCACACCACTCTACAGAGGGTAATAAAGTAAGACTCTGTCTCTAAAAAAGAAGGGAGGACAGAGGACCTAGAATGAAACTCTAGTCCTGGTGTCCTTTCAACTCCTGTCTCTTACAATTACAGTCACTATCTCTGAGACTTCTTCTTCTCCTTAACAAGCAGGGTGAAAAATCACTTAAGGAAGACCCCCCTCCTTTCCTTCCCCACCTGCTCCTCCCCTTGTCCTTTCTAAAACAACAACAAACTTCCTTAAGGAACCCAGTCCAGCAGGGATATGGAGAAGAGGATTAAGTATGCCACATTAACAGTATAGAGCAGTGCTTCTCAATCTTCCTAATGCCATGATGTATTTTCATTGTTACAAAGGGGTCGTGACCCACAGGTTGAGAATCTCTGGTATAGACGTTTCTGTTGACAGCTGTTGCCCAAGTCTCCTTCCAACCAGGCCACTTGGGATGGGTTTTCCTGCCAGAGCTTCCACAGTGTCACTCACCTGCCTCTCTAGTTCTTCTGCAAAGGCATCAAGGTCCAGGTCCTTAAGTCTCTCTGGATTTTCCAAGATCTCTTCAAGGGCTCCTGCAGGATTGGCATCCTCAGCTGACTCATCATATTCCAGGGCATCCACTGCCATTTTCCTGGCCCACTCATAGGTCTCAGGGTGAACTCGGGAACCATCAAGGACTTCAATGTATGAGTCAGTGCTGGAGGAAAGGCATAAATGGAGCAGGATATAGAACAAGAAGCTTCTAGTAACAACCCAAATGTCCACCAATGGGGAACTGGTTAAATAAATTAGGGCACCTCCATACAATGGAATACTATACAGCCATTTACAAGAATGAGGTAGGTAGGTCTATGTGTGCTGACATGGAAAGATGGCCACGATATATTGATACGTGAAAAATGCACTCCAAAACACTATGAACCATATGATCCCATTTTTGTAGTAAATGGGTAGTTAGTAAATGCATAGCAAAAATAAAATTTAGAAAAACTGTAGTATACATAAATTGTTATGGTTGTTATCTCTGGGGGGTGGGATTATGGGGGACTTCCACTTTCTGTATAATATTTCTATATGTTGAATTTTATATAATGAAATTATATGGATCTCATAGTAACATAAAATAAGAAAGGGGAAAAAGACCTTTGAGAATTTGCTGACAGCTATTTTCCCCCATAAAGCCTTCCCAGGCTGGTCTTGCCCGTGCACTCACATGGACCTATGTTATTCGTGGAGTGTTACAGCAAAGCTGAGTGGAAAATGAAGTTTTAGAACTTGAAGCCTATTTCCCCACTGATTTCCATTACTGAATGAGGAGCTATGTGCCCGTGGAAAAGATCCTCCAAAGACTGAGTTGATAACTTCTGGAGAGGAAGAGGTCAATAGTAAAGTCCAAAGTCCAAGTGAATAGAACTTTCTCTCAATAACATCATCTCAAAACAACCAAATCTCTCTCCCCCTTCCTTATCTCTTCACACCCCCACACTCCTTTTCCACTGCCCCAGCTATTCCCACCCTTATCTGGCCACAACAAACCATAAATACAAAACAAGTTTGTGTTCATTGAATAAAATCTTGTATTTTCTGTCCTTAATTTTATAATCTAAATTGGTTCTTTTTATATTTCTTTCACGTGAAAAAAAGCTTCATATAATTGAACCGATCTTTTCCATAGGTCAGGGGCTCTTGGCTGAATAAAGATTCCTTACCTTTTCTTTAAAACATTTTCTAATTTAAATGGCCTGTGGCCCTCCGACAGCCCTCACACCCCCAAACAAAGCCTAAGGGAATTCCTCCTGGCCCATCCAGGCAGAGGGCATCACCTGTCCCCCAAGGAGGCTGTGTCAATCTTGAGGAAGCCAGCGCAATTCATGAAGACTTTAGGACCCATGTGGCACATGGTGACCAGCTGGGTCCGGCTCTCGAGTCGGGTGTTGTTCTGCTTCAGGATCTAGGGGACAGAGTGGAAGAGAATTAGGGCAGAAAACAGGCCAACACATTCCTAGGGTACTTTCTGATCTCTGTTATACCCTCATGACAGGAAGTCTGTCCCCACCCAATATCTAATCGAGCACTATGACATACTATCTACCATTGAAAAAAGATTTTCTGGTTAGGTGCCTATAGCTCAGCGGCTAGGGCGCCAGCCACATACACTGGAGCTTGTGTGTGCGAACCCAGGCCGGGCCTGCTAAGCAACAATGACAACCACAACAAAAAAATAGCTGGGAGCTGTGGTGGGCACCTGTAGTCCCAGCTACTTGGGAGGCTGAGGCAAGAAAATAGCGTAAGCCCAAGAGTTTGAGGTTGCTATGAGTTGTGACACCTCAGCACTCTGAGGACAACATAGTGAGACTGTCTTAAAAAAAATTTTTTTTTCTTTTTTTGACACAAAATCTCATTGCTGTCTGGGTACAGCATCATGGCATCATTGCTCATAGCAACCTTAAACTCTTGGGCTCAGAATTCTCTTGCCTCAGCCTCCCAAGGAGCTGAGACTACAGGCACCCACCACAATACCTGGATAGTTTTTCTGTTTTTAGTAGAGATGGGTCTTGCTCTTGGTCAGGTTGGTCTTAAACTCCTGAGCTTACCAGATCCACCCGCCTCAGTCCCCAGAATGTCATGATGATAGTGTGAGCCACTGTGCCCAGCTCACTAAAATTATTTTTTAAAATAAACTACAATAGCTTGGGCTCATGCCTGTAATTCTAGCACTCTGAGACGCCGAGGTGGGTGGATTGCCTGAGCTCACAGGTTTAAGACTAGCCTGAGCCAGAGACCTTGTCTATAAAAACAACATAGTGTTGGCTCAGTGCCTGTGGCTCAAGTGGCTAAGGCACCAGCCACATACACCTGAGCTGGCGGGATCGAATCCAGCCCTGGCTCGCCAAACAACAATGACAGCTGCAACCAAAAAAAAAAAATGGTCGAGCATTGTGGTGGGCACCTGTAGTCCCAGCTACTTGGGAGGCAGAGGCAGAATTGCTTGAGCCCAAGAGTTGGAGGTTGCTGTGAACTGTGATGCCACCACACTCTATCCAGGGTGACAGCTTGAGGCTCTATCTCAAAAAAAAACCCAGCCGAGTGTTGTGGCGGGCACCTGTAGTCCCAGCTATTCAGGAAGCTGAAGCAAGAGAATTGCTTGAGCCCAAGAGTTAGAGGTTGCTGTGAGCTATGACGCTACAGCACTCTACCAAGGGTGACAGAGTAAGAGTCTGTCTCAAATATAAAAAATAAAAGCAAGTGGCATCCATAGCTCAGTCGGCAGAGTGTCGGCCACATATACCAAGGCTGTGGGTTTGAACCTGGCCCGGGCCAACTGGGACAACAATGACAACTGCAACAACAACAAAAATTGCTGGGCATCATGGCAGGTGCCTGTCATCCCAGCTACTTGGGAGACTGAGGCAAGAGAATCGCTTAAGCCCAAGACTTGGAGGTTGCTGTGAGCTGTCTGACCTCTAGGCATTTTACCAAGGATGACAGCTTCAGACTGTCTAAAAAATAAATAAACGACTACCAAAGATATATCTACTAATGCATGGCTTAACAGTTAATTTTAAAATATACACTCAAGCTTCCACGTCCCAACTGAAATCCTTTTTCTTCTGACTGGAAAAAACATACTATCTGAAGGTTTGTCTCTAGTAGCCCCTTGCTTTCTCTAAGGGTCTTGAACCATAGTTTATACTATGAGCCACTATAGTACAATAGTGACCATAACAGTTTTAGCCACCAGAGTCTAAAGTTAAACTCTGACTCTCACTGGCTAAGTGACTTGTCCCAAAGTCCCACTTTCCTCTCTAACCTTGGTTGTCCAGATCTGTCAAATCATACTGACAAAAGACATATCTTCATATTTAATGAAATGGTAACTTATAAAATTTCTGATTCAAACCAATCCTACCTTCAGGAGATGGGTCCCTTTTCGAGGTCCCAGGCCACAAACATATTGGATCAAGGCCTGGCTATAAGGGTGGGCAATGGCACGGTTGACATCGACCCCAACCTCATTGACTCGGTTGATAAATTCACAGTACAAGGCATTGAGCAGCTCTTCTTTCACCACATGCTCCTGTTGACATACAAAGCAGGAGTAAGGTTATTGTGCTTTCTCCCCACTTGGGCCTGCCTATCAACGTCTACTCACCTGCAAGGGGTGAAACTTGAGACACAGGATGTCTTCATCAGAGCTGCACACCTGGGCAAATTCAATCAGAGGGTCCTGAATGCGTCGGGCCAGGGACACGGCCTGCCTTAGTACTGGTGGGTAGTCCCGGAACTCTGCCTAGAGTTAAACAAGGGTCAGTAGGGCCTTTAAGCCACCCATGTGATGTTATCTTTCTCTCTCTCTCACACACACGCACACATTGATTTTCATCCGCAGTTTCTGGCTCTTGACTCTCACACCTCTGATTATAGTCTCTTGTTATAACATTTCATGTGTTAGGCCTCAGGAGATATCAGGAGATAGAATCTCCAGCCTACTACTCCCCTTTCTTTCCTTTTTGTTTTTTTAGAGACAGAGTCTTTTTTTTTTTTTTTTTT